TCACTAGTTCTCCTCTGCCTTTCCCTAAAGCTGCGCTCCGCTGTCCCTGAGGATACGGCCTGGCTGTAGCTAATGCTAGCGCTAGCTCGAGACTCCAGTGCTCGGAGACGCAGCTCTAACTCACTGACCCTGGATTCCAGAGCTACGACTACACTACACTTCACACATCTATCACTACCCTCAGAGAAGGATCCAGGGTTTAGACTCGCCATATGGCAACTTGAGCAGTAAAGGATTGAGGGAGAGACAGCAGCCGCCATAGGAGTAGCGAGTTAGCGGCTAGGCTAGGCTAAGCTAGTCCGGATCCGGACCCGCACAACAGACTCCGAGACCAGACAAACAGCCGCTACCTAAACCTCAGCTACAGTACAGCTGACTCGGAGTGCTTACACAGTTACTGCTTAATCTTAAAGGGTGAGGCGGCACGCGATAGGCTACCGGTGGCTCAAGGGGCCTACCACCACAAACGCACCGATGGACTATGGTATTGCGCTCTCCAAATGTCTCACTGCCCAGTCCACATGCAGCAGTTTATAGACAGGATGGCAACGCACGTATCTCTGGGCAGTGAGCAGCGATGAGAGGTCGCGCCGCATAACTCCTCATACAGAATTTTTGATCCAGAGTTTCTCTGTGAAATCCTGGACCACAACTTCACAAAAGCTTCTCATCTTTTCCCTCACAGAGATCACTCCATTGCATTCTCAAGATGTTGCAAACGCTTCATTCAGTTAATGAAGCGCCGAGGCTATTAATATTTATGAATTCATTAATTCATGATTTATTTATTTACTTCTACAATTCAAGAGAGATTTTTGTAATGTATCAAAAAAGTTTTGCAAATTTGTTCAAAGGAAACGCAGCTGAATATAGCGTATATTTATTTTTCCATAAACATGAACCAACAAATGTGCCACAGGCCTTTTGAGCAGTGTTGCCAACTTAGCGACTTTGTCGCTAGATTTAGCGACTTTTCAGACCCCTATAGCAACTTTTTTTCAAAAAAGCGACTAGCGACAAATCTAGCGACTTTTTCTGGTGTTATTGGAGACATATCTGGTGTTTTGGAGACTCTGGCGTGAAGCACGTATTGTTCTGCAGTTACTGTCCTCAACGTGAGCCCCTCCCCCGTCCCAAAGCACTTACAGGCGGCCAGTCTCACAGTAGCCTTGCGCAGCAGTCCCAGCTACAGTCTATGGGCGGAGCAGAGAGAGAGAGAGGAGACTCAAAAGCACAGGAAGTTTTCAGGCTGCTGCAGACTGAACTTCAGCTCCACCACCACCACACATCCAAAGCTCCCCGGCCACTCCTACCACCGCCACCCCCCACTCCATCCGCGGCAGCTCTGTCCGTGACTCTGTTTTCTCTCAGTAGTGGGTCACATTAAATCATTTGTTATGCCAAACTATGAAAAAAAAAAAAACTTACAAAAATAAACCTAAGTAACTCTGCCAGAGTGTGTCTTTTGGGTCACTTTGCCGGTCCCAAGCCCGGATAAAGGAGGAGGGTTGGTTGTAGAGCTAGCAATTTCACCCTACATAACAATCTTTTGATTACATTTGCTGTTATAACATTTAACAATACAGGACAAAACTGATGTGTGTAATGTGGATCTAGACAAAGCATTAAAATCATTAAATGTTGTTAATGTTAAAATTATTTTTGTACATTTGTAGTTCTAAACATATTTAGGGTGTTTTTACTCACTTTTGTCTCTCCCACGACCTTATTCCTCTCTCCTACAGCGTCCGTTAGTTATTTGCAAATGGCAAATTATGCAAATTAGGCGATGACGTCATTTAGCGACTTCTAGCGACTTTTGGGACAGCCAATAGCTACTTTCCTTACTGAGGAGTTGGCAACACTGCTTTTGAGGCTTTCTAACAGTCTTTTTGGCCGACTTCCATGCTGACCTGTCGTAAAAAAACGGGGCGTGAGACAGGCAATTTCTGAATATTTATAGGCGTGACTTTCATAAATACGCTAGTTTTGAGCGTGGCATTTATCAACAGCCGCAGCATGCGTACGCTCAGATCTGTGCATATCTCACAAGTTCATAAATGCCACGTTGACTCGTGCGTATTTGGAATATACACCCAAAATATACACCCTTTTCTAAGCAACAGTATGTTTATCCTTGGTCTGCTCCTCTCACTCTTCTGACACGAACTCCTCTTCTTCTGTAGCCTGGCCTTATCCATCCGTACACTCCGTTCAATCATCATTTCACCGCATGTAACCGTCTGGGTCCGGTCCTTGTGTTAGCGAATACAATCAGTTGTATTTCGACCGGCTACTCTGAGAGCGCGGAAGGCGGGTGTTGTAGGTCGGTGCCGGTGACGTCAAGAGTTTGCGCCGAACGGGCAGGTTGTAGTTTGGCAATGGCGAAGAATGCGATAGTAAAGTAATCCGGTCTGGTTCTATCAAGAAATTGAAGCAGGAGCAAGAGGAATGTTTAGCAAATGTAATCGCTGGTCAAGATTGTGGCGCTACTCCCCACGGGCTCAGTTAGCGGCAAAGGAGATGGCTAGGCTAAATGCTAACAACAGATTCGGGCGCACTACATTAGGTCACAGTAAACTCAGATCCAATCGTTTCAATCTGCAAAAGGAGTTAACCCTCTCACCTGTTCACGGAGCTCAATGGAGCAAATCCAGACCTTAGTATGAAATGTAATTTGTACTATGGTGTACGACCAGGCTTCTTCTTCTGCCTTGATCATCCATTTTTGTTTGGAACCTTCATCAAACTGCACTGACAGTTTTTCGATTGCTACAACACAAAATCCAGTACTCTAAACCAAATGACCAGTTGCCTAAACACATTTAGTAAAACTACCCCCCACTTTCCATAACCATAAACACAATTCAGCTGTAGACTGTTCTCAAAACACATTTTGCCTTTGTTAAAACACATTTTGCCTTTGCTAAAAACACATTTTGCATGTATCTCTGCTGAAGCTCTGAAGCTCATGTGATGCAAAATGCCTCCCACAGTCAGCAAAACTTGAACTCAATGAACATACCTGGTGTCATTCAGTAAACACAACAACTCAGAATTGAAAACTCCTGTTGCAAATGATGTGACCACAACTATAAGTTAGTGCAGTTTGATGAAGGTTCCAAACAAAAATGGATGATCAAGGCAGGAGAAGAGGAGTTTGTGTCAGAAGAGAGAGAGGAGCAGGTCAAAGAGAGAGAGGAGCAGGTCAAAGAGAGAGAGGAGCAGGTCAAAGAGAGAGAGGAGCAGGTCAAAGAGAGAGAGGAGCAGGTCAAAGAGAGAGAGGAGCAGGTCAAAGAGGGAGAGGAGCAGGTCAAAGAGGGAGAGGAGCAGGTCAAAGAGGGAGAGGAGCAGTCAAAGTGTTTTCAATTATTACTGTACTGTTGTATCTATTGCGTGTAAATGTTATTGTACTGTAGTATCTATTGTGTGTGATCCTCCATGGAGTTTACAGTACTCATTTTTGCATGAGCTGTGATAACTGCATTTTCTGCATTAAGTAACAATTCTCATGAAACGCGCAAATCTATAGTAAATGCCCAAAACATATTTGAGAAAAAAAAAAAAGGGTTGCTCAAATGTATCCTGGCAGTTGTGAAACTGTAAAAACTGTTGTGGAGAACCGAGCCAGGATCATATGGCACACTTATACCAGGAGGTACAAGAACGTACCCCCTGCATGTCCCAGAGCCATCTTCCTCTAATCAGACGCAGGCAGCGCTTTACAGTGGCGCGTGTCTTTGCTTGAACCCACGTGAAACAATTGCCGTTGCGCACTGATTGTAGGTGCTACACATATAATCAACAAATTTGTGTGAAACTTTTGAGTTTGACATCTTGCACGTTATTTAATAACACAAACTATCAGCATAGCCCTTGGTAAAATTGCATATTTGTAATGTGAGAGGTGTGCCTATAATCTTGCCAGAGTTGGAATATGTTTATTGTTGTCCAAATCTTGAATTTCATGCATGTCATTTGCATGTTGAGATGAAAGTTGAGTTGGGTATAAAATTTACACCACCTCCAGACTCTGATTAAATTCTGTGTGTACCGTATGCTCACTTCGAGATGAATAAATCCCGAAATGTGTAAATATTTTGCGAACACCTCATTTACACCCTGATTTTGCCGTACCCAAGTTTCATAAATGAGGGCCATTGAGTCTATGCTTTTAGCAACAATCAGAACTACACACAACTCACACAGATAACACACTGCGAAACACTCAACAACAGAATTAAGCAGGACTAGCCGCTGACAATTTCCATCTCATCATTACGGCTCATCACACGTGCACTGAAGTTTGGCACTGAAGTTCTGTCTTCCGTGGGTACAGTCTGTCCCATGTGTTGCTAATGTGTGCATGGATGCGATTCAGTGCAGTTCTGGAGGCTTTGCCTCGAGTTTTATCAGAGCTGTTCTCCTAGGTCTGTGTGGCCTCTGGATTCCTGCACCCTTATCCCATTGAGGCCAGGAACGCATTTCTACCTTTAGAGCAGGGAGCGCTGTTCTACCTTTAAGGCAGGTAAAGCAGACACATCTTTTTTGACCAATGAAATGAATCAAGATTAACCAGGGATGAGAATTTTTTGCGGATCCGCGAAATCCGACTTTTTCCCGCTGAAAATGTCATTTCTGAGAAATGTGTGACTGCGGGCTGTTGTTTACGCTACGTACTACAATGGGAATCATATCCTCCATTGTGACCTCGGGAGCAGCTTTGAGAGCTGACACCTGCCCAGAAATGGATTAAGGGGAAGAAAATTAATGGATGGTAATTAATTTTCAAAAAACATTTATTCTGAATAGGTACAATGCGCTTTGGTTATACCTGGATGTATACAACACTCTGCGGCTTCGCACTTTAAGTAGTATATTGGCTCTACATACAAAACATACATACAGTGCAGTGTTTTTTTAATTTATATTTATACACAAATTAGTCATTGACTTGTCGACTACTATAATAATTGTTAAAAAACCTGTGGAGGCTTTCACTAACTCAGAAAACGCTCATGGATGCTTTTGATAGTCTTTGTTAGATACTTGTGTCCAGGTGTGATAGAAGAAAGCACCTCCTGAATATTCTGGATCCTGTAAAAGTAAACACCCATGAGTGCGCTGCTTTTCAAGCGTGTGGAATAGTGAAAGCTTACGTCGTGTCTCCCATCACGTTGCGAAAACTCTTCAGCTGAAGTGTGTAGAGTTGGTTTGTGAGGCAGACGGAGAAAACCACCTCAAACTTCTGGAGCCGTTGGAGACTGCTGAAGGTGATGTAGACGCTGAAGAGGACAATGCAGCAACTTTATACAAATGGTACATATAAATTAGCTTCAACAGAGGGGGCACATCAATCCTGTGTTACCATCCCTCCACTGCCCTCTGTGCCTTTTACAATTTTAGGGCTATGTTAAGAATTACTTATCACTTTTAAATGTTGTGTCTGGATGCTGCTCCCCAAACAGCCCCTGCAGCTTTATATCCTCCGGCTAAGGATAAAAAGTTCTTACTCTGTTTGCACACAGTGGATGTCCAGGATGTCCAGGCTCATACTTCCCCAAGTGTCCAGCAGACGCACCTCCTCCCCCAACAGACGACAGCGACTGACCATCAGGCTGAGCTCACGGAGCAACTGGACAGAGACACATAGAGACAGAGACTGAGTCAGAGACACACACACAGATACAGAAACACACAGGCACAGACGTTTGCACCAAACCTGGTTCTTCCATTCACAATATACTCACATCAAAAACATCTTTACTGCTGGAGTATCTCTTGGTCCAGCTCTGGGCTTGTGTGACCTGAGAGAGCAGAGCGTGGACGAGGCGGGCGTGACCCTGTGACCTCTCATCTGGAAACACACCATATTCAATCATCTGTGATATACACTAATATAAATACATAGATACTGTACTTCTTACCAAGCAAATGTTTCAATGACACGTCCACTATTTTCCTCTCATCATTTCCTAAAGGACGAAAAATCAGGTGATCGCTGTATAATCATTAGCATTGTGAGTCACTATATGGTGCAAAGGTTTGAGATCATGTAACATCACATTTAATTCCTATAGATAAATAAGAGATCCTTTTTGGGGCTGTAATGCTGCGTTCAGACCAAACGCGTCCAAAGCGTCGGGTTTGCATTGAAAATACTCGGGGGGACGCACCTCGTGGAGTGTCGAGAGAACCCGAGGCGCGTCACGTGCCTCCCGGGCAGCATGTCTTTGAGATTTCAAGCGTTTCGACGCACGCCCCAACACAACCGACGCTAGAGTTGAACATTGGTCGACGCTCGCGAATTCATCCAAAAAGTTCTACATTCAGGAGCTTTCTCCAACAGTGACGCATTTCACGACAGGACCGAGGGGGAAGACAACATATCAGCTATGGAGGACAAGCTGTGCTCGTTAGCCCCGCGGACTGACTACCGTGACATAAATGGAGGAGAGTAAGTGAGGAGGTTGGTGTCTCGGGTAAGTTATTTAAACTTTTCACAATTGTTTAAACTTCCCCGCGTAAAATCTGTAATGTCATCTTTAGGGAGAAACAAACCCACAGATTACATATTCAAGCTACACTGAGGAAACTAACATTTCCATGGAGACAGCAGCTATAGTATGCTAACACGTGTTATCTGTATTACACAATATACACTGTATACACAATCACTGAATGTCTAATAGATCTCCTAAAAATTGTCCTTACTTCAAAATGTTTCAAGTTTGAATCTGATTTTTATTTACAGATCTCCGGCACCAGCATGGGCTCAAGGATGGCACCCAGCTTTGCTTCTCTTTAATGCGGACACTTCGAACGGGATGTTATTTTCGACAGTGCTCACAACCCATATTTGAGATACATTTCCAGTTGGAGAAGATACATAGACGATATCTTCTTCCTGTGGTGTGGCACAGAGGAACAATTGAAAGAATTCCACATTTATAAACACAAACAATTTCAGAGTCTAATAAACTATGCTCAACTCTGTACCGAAAAAGCACTGACCGTAATTCAATCCTACATGGGACATCATTCCACCCTGTACCCTTAAAAAGAAGTTTGCAGATTTCACAATTCAACCGTTTACGACTGATCTGCAGGTTTGACTCAATCACTCCGGAGGAATGTCTACAACACAGTAAGAGCAAAAACAAACAACGGGAAACCAAAGTCAACTGCATAATGCAATATTCACTGCTGGGTAAACAACTGGAACAAATAATTAAAAAACATTGGTACATAATCCAGTCGGACCCAGCTCTACAGAACCTATCGCTCACACCCAGAATAGTGTACAAAAGGCCGCCCAACTTGGCCAACTTACCCACTCAGCCCCAACCTCACTTTCTCCAAAACATACCACATGGTAACTATAGATGTGGCAGGGCAACTTCACACAAACAATAACAACTTTTCACCATCCGAGAACTGGGAAATCCTTCAGAGTAAAAGGCACCATAAGCTGCAAGACGAACAATATAATTTACATGCTGAGATGCCCCTGCGGCCTGGCGTACATTGGAAAAACGACTAGACCTATGAAGACCAGAATTTCTGAACATCGGAGCAACATCATGACTCAAAAAGCCCAGTGGCTGTTCACTTCACAGAAGCAAAACACAATGTGAGCACATTAAGGTACACAGGAATCCATCCATCATCCATCCATTTTCTACCCTTTAATCCATTTCTGGGTCAGGGGGGTGGCAGTCAGAGATGCCACCCAAGTCTCATAGCACCAGCCCCTCACTGACCCTCTGCAGGTGGTGAGTCCACAGGAGGAAGGCTGCTCTCTGAGTGTGAGCAGAGCCTTGATCTTTCAGTGGGGGCTTTTTGGGCAAAGTGGGGTTAAGTGTCTTGCCCAAGGACACAACGACAGCAGTCATCAGTGGGAGTCGGTGGAGAAGGTGCAGAGGTGGGAATTGAACCCACAACCTTCTGGCCTTAAGGCCAATGCTCTACCAACTGAGCTACTGTCGCCCTTATACGCCCTTACACAGGAATCGTACACATCAAACTTTCAAACCGAGGAGGAGACAATAATTCCTCATTACTACAACGCAAAGCTTTCTGGATATATACACTAGACACCTTGAGTCCAAAGGGTCTGAATGAAGACTTTGACCTGAGACCTTTTCTATGATCCTGTTTCTTTAGATCTTCCTGTGAGTCCATAACAGGCACCTCAACTACAGCATTGGTGGCTAATCTTTAATGGTCTACATTCCAAACACAAACATGGCCTTTCCTCATTGTGGCACTGTAAATATATATGTAAATATACAGTATAATTATGTGATATTGCAAACATTTACTATTATTTGTAAATTTCTGCAATGCAAATGTAAATTTGTTAGTATGTGTGGAGATCTATTTTTTCTGTGGTATTTATCAATACTGTGGTATCTTGTCATCACATATTAAGGGGGCTACACCTCATTGATTAAATTTTTTGTGTTTTTTGAGTGAGTCATGTGACCTGTCATTTCTGTGTGTAGCCTGCCTCGCTATGTCTGATGAAGGGTAATGACCTGTCACATTGTGTGGTGAGAATTAAAATATCTTGGGAGCAAAAGCCGTGCAGAGCCATCTCCATTTTTTTCATTGATCTTTTTTTGCACGCTACTTAGAATTGGATGTGCGCGTCAATCTCACTCTTGCTCAATAATTTATTATCCCATACTTAGACTGGAAATACTGTATATTTACATTTACTGTATATATTAGGCTTATTATGAAGCGCTTTTCATACAATAGTCTGATAAATATATGTATAGAATGATGGAATAAAAGCACATAACACAGATGTTTCTTTTGTCATTAATAAGACATTTGCAGATGAGTCTCACTTCCACAACAACAGGTTTAAAGTGGTTAGTCATGCTTCTAAGTTGTGTGTATATTTCCATTATATTATTCTTCTGTTACTCCTCAGAGTGTCTGTTTCTCCTGCTCCTTCTAATATTTAATACAGGAAGGATTTCTGTATTTTATTTTGTGGTGTCCATGTTTTAATTTGATGTTTGTGTTCTTTTTCAGAAACTTCTGGTGAAACGGAACTCTGACTTTCTCTTACAGCAACAAAATCACATGCCATCGTTTCTCCAGCTTCACTGCGGATTTATACAATGAACTCCAACAAACATTTTCATGTTTTATTTAATCATCAGTCATGCATAGTTAGAACAGTCGGTTCTGCATCTCTGAAGACGAGGAGCAGTAGGAGGAGCAACAGCAGCAGCAGCAGAGTCCTGGGTGTCTGCCTCTGCGCAGGTCTCTTCTACAGTGTGCGCTTTATAGAGAAGAACCTCAAAATAATAAATAGAAAATCAAACTTGTTGGTTTTATTATGATTTAGTTTGAATTGAAAAGCGTTATGAAAAATATGGAATTATTTACACAAGTACATATTTGTCAGCAGTACTTATACTTCTAATTGAATACATTAAACTAATCTGATTAATAACAGTCTGTTGCTTTTCAAGACTTCATCTCCTGTGTTCAACTCCATTTTACAGATATTATAGATCCATGGCTCTCTCTCATCAGCAAACACACGTTATTACATTTAGGCCTGATACAAACTACTTTTAAGTGATGCACATAATAAATATATATACATAATAATCATATATAATAATAATCATTTATTGCATATATGTGCATTGTTCAATACATACATGTGATGTTTTGTGAAAATATAACAATTGTATTGGCAGTAATAATTTGTTTTCATAAAGTGATAACAGAGAAAATCCGTTACAGAAGTCTCGTCTTTGGGTTTTCATATAAAGACTGTAATTAAGATTATAATTATTATTATCTCGGTTTATAATAAGCTCTGTTCTTGGCTTTAGCCCCTCGGTCGGAGATTCGCCGGAGATTCGCCCTGGAAGAAATCTCCGACAATTTTCTTTTTGATCACCAAACACACCTCTGACATGACAATAGAGGGGGGCATTTCTCACCTCAAATGTTATTAGAATAAACTTTTATGTCCTAATTAAACATATTTTAAACTTTTTACCTTCCATCACGGCCGCTGTGTCCTTCCTTTCTGCTGTGTTCTGAGTTGAGTCGGCAACAGAGAAGCCCCGCCCCAAAACGCTCTCTTCCCTCTAGCGTTCTGGAGGCACGTGACGCGTCTGCCAGAATCTGTCACATGTGTCCAACGACGAGCGTTAGACGCAATTTTGACGCTCAAAACGTGTTTGGTCTGAACGTAGTATAACTCCCTCCCTGCCACAGACCTGCACTGCATAGCCTCTGTGAGCTACAGCCTATTGCTGTGTTAGAACAGTTTCAGTCTGATCTGTTGCTGATGTATGCACAACTTAATAAAGTCCTCAAAGATGATCGCTGTTGGGGCAACACACAAATACATTCAACTGAATTGAATTCAAATAGTCAATATTGTTGGGGGTGCGCAGTTGAAAAATTTGTCTTTGTAACTATTGTAAGATTCTAGATTTAGTCGAGAGCGAATTCCTCTGTAGTTCTTTGGGGCAGGTATTATTTATATTTTGCTATTACTATTGTTATTATCATTATGATGATGATGAAGGCAACCTTCCTGCTTACTATCACTTATGGCCTCTGTAAATGTACTCAGCTCTTTAGAAACATGGAAACTTCAGCTTCTGTTTTAGTGTTACATGTAAATTGTTGAAAGTTCCACAACTCTCAGCACATCCGCACTGGTCTCGCTCTGGTCCCTCTGTGGACACATACCTTCCGTGTCCTCGTACGTCAACTTCAGATGCAGTGTTTCATAGAGGAACGTGTAGATGGAGGTGGTCCTGGTCATCTCCTTCAGCCTCCACTCATTCATCCTGTGCCCATAGCAGAGCAGTCAGCAGAGCTGGGTCAGAGGAGGCGGGGACTGGGGTCGTACCTGTGCAGCATGGTGAGCCGTCGGTCCACGTCTTTAGCCTCTTCTTTCACTCTTCTCAGTTTGTCAGCACTGTACATATTTTGGACCTGCAGCTCTGAGGCCGAGCTACGCAAGAGAGAGGAGTTACACACGTCCTCCCAGCAACAACAGCTGCTATAAATATTATTATCATTATCATTATGATGAAGTGGATGAAGGCGCTCTCACCGCTCGTGGTCACTTATGGCATCTGTAACTGTACTCAGCTCTATGGGAACATGAAAACTTCAGCCTGTGTTATAGGATTATGAAGGAACACAGTATCTTACCTTCCTGGCCCCTCTTTACGTCACCTTCAAGTGCAGCTAGTTCTAAAAGATAAAAACCACACAAAAAACAATCAATCAGTGATACCTAGGACGAGACTTAAAACCCGGGGGAGACAGGGTATTTCTGTGGCTGGAGCAAAGCTATGGAACGCCCTGCCCTGTGACGTAAAAATAAATAGTCTTTTAACTGAATATATGTTCTTAGTTTAGGTTTTGTCAAAATTCCATTTTGCCACTGTTCTTCAAAATTGGCCACTAATTTTGCTCTAATGCTGTTGATGCTGCATGGCAGATTGTTATGAAAAACATATTGAATTGTGCTTCAGCAAACACAGATCGAAGCTCTGCGGTCCAGGGTGATATGGCTTTGCTCCACTTAAGGACCTTTTTTGTTAATCTGTTGTCTGGCATATTACTTATTCAATTCCACAATCTAACCATGTCACAATTACTTTGGACTGTGCCAGGAACCCAGTCCATATCCCCCTGCACTGCCAGAACAGGAAAAAACTTGTGGACTCCAAAAAAGAAGTGGATTGCTCTGTTTTCTACAGCATCAAAGGCTGAATACTGTCTGGCCCCCAAAACACCAGCAGTTTAGAACAGGAGAAACACATGCCTCATATAATTTAGAATATGTTCTATAACCAAGATCTTTACAAACTTTACATTTGTTTCTCACAGAACCTAAAGCACAGCTAACAGAGTCAGCCAGAACTTTGACTCCACAATCAAAACTCAAACTCATTGATTTTGAAATCCAAGTATTTTTACTCAGGGACAAATTCCAGTCCTGTTACCAAGCTTGAGAAAATTTGTGCATAATGGAATTGACTTCCTCCTGAAATGAACAATCTGAGTTTTAGTTTGATTTGTGGAAAGTTTCCATTTATAACACCAGACTTGTAACACGTTCAACATTGTATGGAAGTCCTCTTCTGTTTCAGCCATGAGTGCAACATCATCAGAATAAAGCAAAATGGCTACTGTGTCAAAGTCCATACGGATACCCATGTTTATTTTATTTCCAGAGCCAAATCATTGATAAAAACGTGAGAAAGGGTTTGGAGACAGATTGTCCCCTTCACTTACGTCAGAGGGTGTCGGGAACCAGTCAGTTTGGAGCTCATTTAATTGGACACATCCCATACAGTCTCTACATAGTGATTTTAGAGCTTTATAAAATCAACCCCACGCTGAAGAAGTTTCAAATACAATAGATCCCCGTTTACCAAATCAAAGGTTTTTTTAAAGTCTATAAAACATAGAAATGTGGATTGGTTTTCAGCCAATCGGGTTTTGACAATAGTTGAAACAGTGAAAATGTGGTCAATACATGTTCAGGGTATGTACAGTGCCTTGCGAAAGTATTCGGCCCCCTTGAACCTTTCTACATTTCGCCACATTTCAGGCTTCAAACATAAAGATATAATAATTAATTTTTTTGTCAAGAATCAACAACAAGTGGGACACAATCGTGAAGTGGAACGACATTTATTGGATAATTTAAACATTTTTAACAAATAAAAAACTGAAAAGTGGGGCGTGCAATATTATTCGGCCCCCTTGCGCTAATACTTTGTACCGACACGTTTTGCTGCAATTACAGCTTCAAGTCGCTTGGGGTATGTCTCTATCAGTTTTGCTCCTCGAGAGACTGGAATTCTTTCCCATTCTTCCTTGCAAAACAGCTAGAGCTCAGTGAGGTTGGATGGAGAGCGTTTGTGAACAGCAGTCTTCAGCTCTTTCCACAGATTCTCGATTGGATTCAAGTCTGGACTTTGACTTGGCCATTCTAACACCTGGATACGTCTATTTGTGAACCATTCCATTGTAGATTTGGCTTTATGTTTTGGATCATTGTCCTGTTGGAAGATAAATCTCCGTCCCAGTCTCAGGTCTTTTGCAGACTCCAACAGGTTTTCTTCCAGAATGGTCCTGTATTTGGCTCCATCCATCTTCCCATCAATTTTAGCCATCTTCCCTGTCCCTGCTGAAGAAAAGCAGGCCCAAACCATGATGCTGCCACCACCATGTTTGACAGTGGGGATGGTGTGTTCAGGGTGATGACTGTGTTGCTTTTACGCCAAACATATCGTTTTGCATTGTGGCCAAAAAGTTCGATTTTGGTTTCATCTGACCAGAGCACCTTCTTCCACATGTTTGGTGTGTCTCCCAGGTGGCTTGTGGCAAACTTTAAACAAGACTTTTTGTGGATATCTTTGAGAAATGGCTTCCTTCTTGCCACTCTTCCATAAAGGCCAGATTTGTGCAGTGTACGACTGATTGTTGTCCTATGGACAGACTCTCCCACCTCAGCTGTAGTTATCTGCAGTTCATCCAGAGTGATCATGGGCCTCTTGGCTGCATCTCTGATCAGTCTTCTCCTTGTTTGTGATGAAAGTTTGGAGGGACGGCCAGGTCTTGGTAGTTTTGCAGTGGTCTGATACTCCTTCCATTTCAATATAATTGCTTGCACAGTGCTCCTTGAGATGTTTAAAGCTTGGGAAATCTTTTTGTATCCAAATCCGGCTTTAAACTTCTCCACACCAGTATCTCGGACCTGCCTGGTGTGTTCCTTTGTCTTCAGGGTTCTCTCTGCGCTTAAAACAGAACCCTGAGACTATCAAAGAGCAGGTGCATTTATACGGAGACTTGATTACACACAGGTGCATTCTATTTATCATCATCAGTCATTTAGGACAACATTGGATCATTCAAAGATCCTCACTGAACTTCTGGAGTGAGTTTGCTGCACTGAAAGTAAAGGGGCCGAATAATATTGCACGCCCCACTTTTCAGTTTTTTATTTGTTAAAAAAGTTTAAATTATCCAATAAATTTCGTTCCACTTCACGATTGTGTCCCACTTGTTGATTCATGACAAAAAATGTATGTTTGAAGCCTGAAATGTGGCGAAATGTTGAAAGGTTCAAGGGGGCCGAATACTTTCGCAAGGCACTGTATGTATGGTCTTTTTACTTTATTTTGCATATATGTGTTTTTCTATTTGTTTTTTATGATTTTAACGTTTTACTATTTGCTTTAATTACCGGTATGTGTTGTGCTATATAAATAAAGTGGATTGGATTTCCAAATGTTTTTCTAATATATTATTCTTGTATTCATTTCTGTTTTTGATTTTAGTACTCCTATGTCTCATAAAGTTCAGGGCGCTTTAGCCTGTTTCACATCTGCCAACACATGTACTATACCTGCTTCTAGCTTGGCCATGCAGTCGTCCAGGTTATTCAGCATGGTGTCTGCTCTCTGGATAGATCCTCTCAGCTTCTCTTGCACCTCCTGAAACCAGAGGAAGATGTGGAGCCCGGAGCACCATTACACGAGCCAAGTTTGTGCAGTAAACTCACAGCGTTAGCCCTCAGCAGATCTGTATATAGACCCTCCTTCATCTCGTGGGCCTTCGCTCTGCTCGTCTTTCGACATGTGCTGTAGATTTCTTTGAGTTTGGCGCTGAATGATTTAAACTGTGGATACACGAGAAAAGGGAAAACATGTGAATGTGGCGCAGTATGTGATAGAAGCAGAGATGAGACATGACATACTACATAATACTTTTTATATATATATATAATATATATAGTGTGTTCTCAGGTCAGATATTTATATGCGATTAATTAATTACAAAGCCTCTAATTAATTGTGTGTGTGCATGTGTGCGTGCGTGCGTGTATGTATGTATGTATGTATCAGTATCTATCTCCGCCGTTCTAACTAATGGGCCAAAAAATGTGCTCAACTGGAGCTATTCAAAATAGCCGCGAGTGGTCCCACCCACAAGAAAATTGTGAAAAAACCATAGACTGTATATAAAACGGACAGAGTCACGCCTATCTCTGCCGTTCATAGGAGTTGGCCATGAAAAGTGCTTTCATGGAGCAATCCAAGATGGCCGCGAGTGGTCCCGCCCTCAAGAAAATTGTGGAAAAACGCATCTGCACATGCGTCAGCCGGCGCAGCTCCATTCATTTGAACAAGAGACTTAATTCACCGCGAGTAAACTAGAGTGGTCCAAAAAAATTCACCCCCCTCAGCATTGACACACATGTGGAACGGAGCTTTGGGCCAAGAGCCAACTTTTGGTCCATCCTGTAAAGACGTTTTTGAGAGGTCTGCCAACGCTATATGTTAGCATTGGCTAATTCTTCTTCTGGGTCCACCCCCATCGGCCTGGGGTGGTATTGCAAGCATGTCAGCGCACGTCATTTTGGCCACTTTTGAGCTGGGACCCGCCCCCACTGGGGTGGACCCGGAATAAGAATTAGCCAATGCTAACATATTGCATCTTCTTACCTCTCGAAACCCCTTTAGTTGTCAAGTTGTCTCTTGGCCCAAAGCTCCGTTCCACGTGTGTCAATGCTGAGGGGAGTGAATTTTTTTGGACCACTAGTTTACTCGCTGTGAATTTTTGAAGTCACTCGTTTAAATGAGTGGGGCTCATGACAGCTGACGCATGCGCAGACTTTTTCACATTTTCAAGCCCCCGCGGCCATTTTGAATCACTCCATGAGAGCCCAATTCTTGGCCCATTAGTTAGATTGGCGGAGATAGGCGTGACTACGTCCGTTAATGTGCTTTTTAAAATATTTATTAATTACTTTTTTGTATTAAAAACCCTTTTTTTGTATTTGGTCAGATGCAATTTTTTTTAGGACCTGTATATGACTCCAAATATAACTGAGGGAGTTGTTTGAATGATGAGCCACATGTTCCACCTGTGTTTTCAAATGTGATGTGTTAAAATGAGCATGTCTTACAGGGGTGTGGCTTTAAAGTGATAGTCTGTAATTCTAAATGAATTACAAATTTTAGGAAATGTGTTAAATTGACCTCCTGGCCTTAAATGTTGAAAATAAGTCATTTTATTAATTCTAATATTACGGGCAAGTCCCGCCTTCCCTTCTCTTAGCTATAGCTCAGAATCCACGGTGCCTCCGAATCAAGATTCTATTAGGCTCTGGAACTACATTAAAACTGAACAAAGAATTCTGAACATCCGCGCTGAGGTACTTATGTATATACTGAACCTATATCCATAATCAGATCCTCTGCAGATGTGTCCTATAATGTGCAATTCATGATAATAGCACTTCCGGGTTTGCAGCGATCGCTTTTTTTGTGCATAAAAACATTTTTTTCATTAAAACGTTAACAAATAATTCTGAAAACCTCAGTGCACGTGTATTAATAATGTATATGTTTAATGTGTTCTCTGATTAACATTTAAAAGTGTTACGGAAATGTAGGTGTAGACCAATCAGAAAGGAAGGGGGAGGGAGCATGCGTCGTTTTTTTAAAATCAAGTACCTCTATGTCTCTCTTTCTGACAAACTCCAGACATTCACTTTAAGGGTTTCAGTCACAGTACATATACGTAAAAACTTTATACAAGATTGAATTGTGGTAGTTATCTGAAAACTGCTATATTTCTTTATAAATGTGCAGCCCTATAGGAGATATTAACAGTAGATGTATGTATTAGCTTCTGCTTTTACCTCTCCTTCAGTGAAATTTTTCATCTCTTCCCATAAAGCCTTATTCACCAGGTACAAGGGTTTATTCAAGTCACGCATTCGAAATTTGAGTCTGTGGAACAGAAATACAAATACATGTCTTCATCCTTTAAAGCTCATGTGTTTTATCACTGTGTGCTTGTCTTGGACCATGTGCAACAAGCCAAACACACATGATAGAGTTATTATGTTGATTTCTCCACTGTGGGCAGATGCTCCTCTTGGTACATACCCCTCCACCTGCTCTGTCAGGCAGCGCACATCGGCCTTGTACACCTGCTGTCGGGGGGCATGGATGTGCCTGTCCCTGGACACGTCCATCTGGCTACTCTCCACGTCAGAGGAGACCTGAGAAAAAAAAGACATGAGTGGACTTCTGCTTTAATCACAGAAAAGAAGATATCGCAGCAGAGCACTCACTCTCCCAGGAGCCACGCTCTGTCGAGAATTGTGAATCACAAAGTCCATGTGAAAGAATTTAAAGAACTCCAGCATGGTGATATTGCCATCCTCAAATTTCTGCAAGAGTGAGTAGTGAGTAAGTGTACCATGGTACCATGTAAACAAAAGGGTGAAACCAGCTCCCTCGCCTATTACAATGTAATCCTATATAACAATACCCACGTACTCCTAGGTGCTCCCAAAACCAGTCTGAGACATGGCCATTAGATGCATTTAGGAACGATATAGGGTGAGGCTATTTTCATTAATGAAGTACTCAGTCTTTCTCTGCCTGCGTTTTATTTGGTTTGTTTGGTTATGTGAGTGAAAAGCAGGAATGATGATAGAATGATAGAAATGTAATTTCCAATAAGAGTCCTGAGTAAAAGGACAAAAAAGAAACCAGCAGCTTTTCCGCAACACAGAACCAGAACTGCTCAGACTGGTTTGACATTCACAATGCATATTAATGGCCAATAACAGCTGTTGTTCCTTTAATAATGAAAAGGGACTAGTGGAGTAGACAAGTACCCGTTCAATGTCATTGGCGTAATCTTCGAGTGAATATTCATAAATGCTCTGCATGGAACCTGAGGAGACAAAATATACAATATTTAACAATACTGCTATACTGTCTAAAACATTGATGGCAAACATGAGGGAACATACTAGACTCCAAAGTGCCTTCACACCGGAGGCTGACAGTGTGGTTGCAGATGGAAGAGATTGTGGTTTGTGTATTTGCTGCAGAGGTAATGTTATCACCGACCAAAGTACAAGCCTGTGAATCCTGGGCAAAGACAAAGAATGTTCAGGGCATTGCAAAACTTTCCGCTCCAACTTTACAATTGTACTCCATGATAGAGATGCTCACCATGATTACAGTCCAAAAGGAAGTAACACAATATACAACACGTCACTAAATTTAGAACTACAGTGGTTTATCACAAGGGTTATGTGTTATAACCCACAAAAAGGTAAATCCTCTCAGTAGCAGTTCTATGTTTTAAGAATGTAAAACCCCTCAGACACTTTTCTAACCATCTGAACTCACGACTGCTGAAGTGTAATCGCAGAGATATCAAACCTGATGTAGGTCTGAGTGCTACTGCAGCTATCAAAAGAGCCGTATGAGCAGCATGCGCGTGTACACACAGAGAAACCCCGCCCCCCCACATACCATTTTCTCTCTTGATTGGATAAAAACTGTAGGATACAATAAATATTTTGACCAAGACTCAAAGCTGGGGGCAAGTGACAGAGATTCGTGTTTTGGTCCAAACTTCGGTCTAGCCATAAATGATCGCTATTGGAAGATATAACTATTTAAGACTTATATTAACATACAAAATTTGCTTACTTCTGCTTTAATATTTCAGATTGTATTCTTCATTATCATTATTCATTATTGTAAATAATGAATAATTACTGAATTTCTCCATCTGTGTGAGATAATAAAGGATTGATTGATTGATTGAAATGCACTTACTTTGTGCTTTAGAAACAAATATGAGACTATAAATAAAGACTGTACCCAACATTAGGCTTGTTCTTGCCAATATATCCAAGTGCCGCTTAAAGTGATAGTCTGTAACTCTAAATGAATTACAAATGTTAGGAAATGTGTTAAATTGACCTCCTGGCCTTAAATGTTGATATAAAATAAGTCCTTTTATTAATTCTAATATTACGGGCAAGTCCCGCCTTCCCTTCTCTTAGCTATAGCTCAGAATCCACGATGCCGTCCACGTTAACCAATTGAGTCATGCCAAGGGCTGTCAATCATCGACGCTGATGCTCGTAGCTCCGCACATGCTCAGTTGTTTGTTTTTGCGGAACCTCCGAATCAAGCCTCTATTAGGCTCTGGAACTACATGAAAACTGAACAAAAAATTCTGAACATCCGCGCTGAGTTACCCATTTATATACTGACCCTATATCTATAAATCAGATCCTCTGCAGATGCGTCCTATAATGTGCAATTCATGATCTTAGCTTCTTCCGAGTTTGCCGCGATCGCTTTTTTTGTGCATAAAAACATAATTTTTTTCATTAAAACGTTAACAAATAATTCTGAAAACCTCTGTGCATGTGTATTAATAATGTATACGTATAATGTGTTCTCTGATTAACATTTAAAAGTGTTACGGAAACGTAGGCGTAGACCAATCAGAAAGGAAGGGGGAGGGAGCTTGCGTCGTATTTTTTTTTCAAATCAAGTACCTCACTCTCTCTTTCAGACAAACTCCAGACAATCACTTTAAAAGGAGTAGCTCTCTGCCTTTATCATCTCAAGAAAGCAGCTCTCTGGGTGAAAAAGGTTGGATACACCTGTATTTGAGTTTCTATCCAATCCTTATCCAGACATTGTGCGTTGCCAGGGAGCAAAATCTGCTTACAGCGTTAAGCAATCTGCGTCAAGTTGTCTTCACTGAGAGCTGTTTTACAGCTTCAGAGCATGCATGTCTTTTGATTGTATTGACAATTATCTCTTTTTGGTGTGTGCACACCAAACAGAACGTTAAATTAAAAAGAAATCCCTCAATAATATGTTTAACTGACAGAACTAATAATAAATATATATATGTATATAAATGAGTTACTCACCAATATTACAGTGTCATTACTGGTCCTGATCCTCTTCTCATCCTCTGCCGTACGCTCTTCATCTTCTAATGGTCGTTTCTTTTCATTGACGAGAGCTTCCTCTTCAAAAATCTTGTCCTGTAGTTCCTGGTCCAGCTCAAAGCCTCCAAACACAGCCATATCTTCTGGTTCTTTGTCTGGACTGCGAGAGTCCAGAGTTTCCGACACGTCCTCATAACTCCCCAGTTCTTCGTTTTTGATGTCGCTCACATTGAGGTCGAATCTGGCTGTGTGTATTTGAGCCGTTGCTGGTTCATTTGGGGTTTTAGCCTCTTCACTTTGACTTCTCTTGCCGAGTTTGGGCATGAATCCTACCACCGACAGCCTGGACATGAGCCGTTTTGTCTCCAGTTTAAAGGGAGTAGTGGAGCTCTTACATTTGCTCTTCTGAAAATCAGCATCTCGCTCAAATGTTTGCTGTGCTTCCCCATCTCCCAATTCAAGCTCTGGATCTGATGGTGATATTAGGGTGTTGTCGTCCGCAAGATCGTCATTGGAGACCATTAGTTGCTGACTAAAACGCCTCATTTTAGATAGAAAATCAGCAAGAACTGCTCCACGACTTTTTGGTGAAAAACCAGATTTATCACCTTTTCTCATAGAAGCAGGAGATTGCTCAGTTTCATCTACAACGACTTGGTCTTCATCATGAGTTTGTGGTGAACACTGATGGATCTCGACTTCGCTCTGGGCTAAAGGCTCTACAACGGTCTGCTCATTTCCTACACCTGATTCTGTGTTTATTTGAACTGAGGCTTCGGTCGTGCTATTATCCACATTTTCACACTTTGGTTTGGCTTCAGCGATAGACTCCTCAATTATGGATAGAACTCCTCTCCCGTCATTCAAGTGTATAACTTCAGAGTAGTCATCAGTTTCTGCAGTTTCTTGAGGGAGAGGGTTTCCCCATGGCATGCTTCTCCTCACGTTGAGCACTGCGTTGGCATCATGTCTGTTCAAAGATCTGCTCCTCTGATTACTGAAAACCATAGGTTCCCTTCTCTTCAGAGCAGCAGAAACATCTGCAGTGACGCAGGTACAAACATGGCTAAGATCCGACAGCGAGGCTTTCATTTCAACTCCAATGTTTGAAGTGATGCATCTGGTCTTGTCCATAACACCCTCCTCTGCATTGATTGTGGTGCTGTGGTGTATGGGATTGTCTGCAGTGGCTTCATCACAAATAAATTGTGAGGTGTTCTCCCCACATTTTGGTAAAATACTAGAGTCGTCAGACAAAATTGCACAGTCTTTTGCAATCTTGACCGTGAGGCACTGCGTGACATCCATGAGCGCGTCATCGAACCGTGTGGTTTTCTCTGAGAAGGGTAGCTCCTGTTGTAGGTTTACAGAGCTGTCCACAGGGTGTAGCAGGTCCTCTGCTGCAAACCGTATGGTTTTCTCTCTAGGGAGATCTTCGTTTCTCTCTCTGGGAGGCTGTTCAGCGTCCACATCCACCTACAAGAGTCAGGAGAGAAGCAGCCCAGATGAGACCAGAGGGCAGAGGACAGTGGAATGACCCCCCCCTCTCCCCTCAGAGGATCGAAGGACATGGGTCTTACCGAAGGTCTTTGTATTCGAGGCACATGGCAGCTTTGAGCACCTACAAAAACAATTTTAGAATGAAGTCAGCAGTACAGGTGTGTATCTAACAGATATGAGGCTCACCCATAAGAGGACGTTTTGAAAGTCTACTGCTGCTTTGCGTCTCGGCAGCAAGTTTAACATTGCTCCTCAAAGTTTTCTTAACTTCATTTTTTTGTCCAGAAAGTGAAGCAAAAAAGTTTTCAAATGCTAAATTCACACCGAGGGCGGGCAGAGTTGCTACGGCCTCCTGTTTCGGCTGCATATTTGTACTGGGAAGCATGTCTCTGGAAATAAGCGTAGTCTGACACTGGGTCATGTCCATCCCTGCGTCATGAGCGGTGAAGCACACAGTCTGGTCTTCACACAGGGGCTCGGGCTGTAGGGGCAGACCTGAGGAGCTGCGGTCTCCAGACAGGGGCTCAGGTTTCATCTAGGAAATACATACATAGAATAACATATCCAGCTTGGGCTGTGCCCAAAATCAATAGAGCACTTCTCAATTTTGGGCCATATCCATTGAGATATACACTTATAATTGAAAGATGCCAAACATGTGACATTTACAGCACGAGGGCTGAAAATGTAGAGAGAAATGAGAATCAAGACCAAGCTGTTCTGAACTTGTCCTATTGGCATAAACAGTTATGTTAAACAAACAAACCTTTTCTCCATGATGTTTAAGAACAATAATAACCATTAAATCTCTTATCAAAAGAGTCATGAGTGGTTTGTGACTCACCGTTAACCTTTGGTTATTGTCACTGGGTTCACGAGTGAATACCATTTCTAAAAGTTGAGAGAAAACACAATTCAGCCAAGTTCAGCCCATTAACTGGAATCGAGCATATAATTTAATACCTGTGGTTTTGTTATTGGGTTTATCTGGGCAAGTAAAGATGTCTTGAGGGAATAAACAGTGGAGCGGGTCGGTTGCTTTTATCACTGACTTCATCTTTGGAAAATAATTTTCTTTATCAGTGATGTCATAGTACACTGCAGAGTGTGTGTTGGTAAAAGGGAAGGCTGTGGACTCGTCTTTGTCACAGAACATGTTGAAGGTTTGGCTAAGGGTCATGTCCATGTTCTCCCCCTGTTCGGCTGACGACAGCAGACACTCCTCTTGGTTTATACAGTTTGTGCTCTTGCCATAGTTGCTGTCGCTGAGGACGTTGGGCTGCAGAGGCAAACACGCTGAAATAAACACATTCTGATTTCAGGACATTACTTCTTACCATTTCTCTCAGTTTTGAAGCTTTTAAAAAGGAGTTGATTCCTACAAGTAGCAATACATTTTAAAAAGCTATTCCACCATTAAACAAGTAATACTAGTTGTTTAATGGTGGTTGTTTAAAGATACTAAATAAAGATAAATACCAGAGAACTGCTCGTCTTCTCCCGTTTTCATCTGAATCCTTGTATCAGAGAAAAATGTGTTACATTTAAAAACATAATGCATTTACGAAACATTCTTTTCTCAACTAAAGATCTCACCATTGTTGTGTAGCATTGTCTGCTGTGGAGGAAAACAACAAAAAATCATCAGGAAGTAATAGATTTTAACATTGACAAAACAAAAGCCCTTACGAGTCAGCTCCTGCAGAGGAGTGGGTGAAGCAGAGGTGTTTTTGACATCTCTGTAAAAGATGAACGCTTGTTATTGAACATTCAGTGACAGGAATAATGCATATAACATGGTACAATGGAATACTTGGAGAACAGCAGCACATCGTTGGCTGCAGCAAAACTGACTCTTTTGGACATCCTCTTATCTGAAGGCTTTACACACTCCACCTTTGAAGACAAACGCCTGCGTTCAGGAGGAGACAGGGTCATGTGTTCAGGAGGAGACAGGGTCATGACTCACCACATGTTCCGGCTGCTGCACTTCAGAGGACCAGCTGGATTTCCGTGGCATCTTCAGTATCTGGGAATAAGGCACAGGAATAATAAACACGTAGCGATGAAATATATTATATATATTTAAAGTAAAGATAATGCAGAGCAGTACTGACCGACGTGCGACGCTTGGAGTATGCACTGCCCTCCCTGTACAGTAACACATTCATCACATAAAGAGACCAGTCAACGCATGCTACATTTTCACTTACTCATTTCTGTCAAGATCAAGAAGCTCCATCTTAGTCTGAAATAGAAACAAATCTGTTTTAAGTTGTTGGTAACATCATAGTATGTCAGAAAGACAGGTTCAGCCATAACCAAACCACACAACACACAAATGCAGGTTCATTGACGATGGTTCAACTATGTTTCATGTATGTTTATTATTTAAATTTGAACAAACGTGGTGGTCGTGTCACACAATATATTTAGACAGAAATCACTATAATAATGGAACTTAACGACAGGTACTTCTGCAATGTATGTAATGCATTGCAGAAGCCTCAGGCCATTTTGTTGTGATTCTGTTCTATGTACTATTCTTCTTTCTTCTACACAGCACCTAAATGCACATTTGTGTATGTATTTCGTTGTAATAAACTCTTCCACCAAGGCCATAGAATAAACAGCACAATTAACCCATATTGATCCATAAGTGTCTTACTCAGCCACCTACAGCAAGCTAAATGCTATCATATTATTATTCGCTATCTTCCCCCCACAAAATACAATAAATAGGCCAACCAGACTTTTGAACGTTACATTGTAATTTATACAGGGTTATTATTGTGACAGGCCTATTTTTACAGCAGATAATAATATGCAACGCATCTGTAATGTGTGAAATTTTAAATTAAGCTACGTTTTAGCGCGCACTGGTAGCTAACTTAGGAAGACAATATCTGTTGGTTAACTTTGTATATATGAATTTAACCGGTACGCATACCTCGTCCAGAAGCTTTCAGGTCAACTGTTATGATCCGTGTTTAAGTCACTTTAGTCACAGGAGTGTATGGTCAGCGTTATTGTAATCGATCCACGCTTCACGGAACGTACAGAAGCTAACCCTCAATCCTTTTAGCGTTACGTCTCGAGTTTTGAATTTAGCCGCCCTCACGCATGCGCAATGCTTTGCTCTGCGCCTAAACGCTAAAGTATATTACAACAAAAATTCTTGTTATATTACTACTATGTCTATCAGTTGTGGCAGTACATTGACCGCAGAAATATCTAAAAAAATACACGCACGCACATTTCGAAATATTTGTTTACAGCGGAAGTCTCGTCAAACACGGAAGTGGGAAATTAGAGGGCGGGCGTACGGTTTCAAAAGTCTCCGTGTGGAAGTTTTGAAGACGGATTTTAAACTCATTTATTCAACAAGGTATGAGGGACATCGAGTACACTGATGTAAAGGTACCTTTACACCTGTTTCTAACATTTCTACGATTTTGCTGCAAGTTATCAGTAAACTGCCAAGTCAAAGCTAGCTAAGATCCATGCGTATGCCCCATTTCCAAACAGCCTTTCTCTGCTCTATTCTACTTGATTGCATTTCCATTCAACTTTAATATCTAGTACCGTATCCTATTGAACTTTCCTACACACAATGCACAGGGACTGCAGTTGAAAAATAGCCTGCTTTGCTAATTCTGGTGCATTTACAGTAAGCTTTATTAATGCACAATGTCCCTGTCAAATAAACCAATAAAAAAACAATAAACAGCATCCGGGGAAATTCCTTGGTGACCATGGCTTCCAGCAGCACTCTGGCACTGTCAAGTACCACCTCGACCTGGATAGAACCAGAGCCAAGAGGGACTAAAGGGAACTGGTGGAAACGCTCCCAATCAGGGGAGAGTAAAGTAATGATGATGCATCGGTTTTATAGCCCTTTAATGGACATTCAAAGATGCTTCACATCAGTAGCCACAGCTGCCCTGGGGCACATGGACCAGGCCCTACCCTGCTTATCTTCAGAGGTCTGATGGGATCTGGCTTTCACATGCAGTTATAGCCACAAACATGGGAGTTGGAAGTAGAGAGAAAAGTAGAGCAGAGTAGGGCTGGTGGAAATATTGCTAATCATAATAAGTATTTTAAAATAAATATATTATGAAACTGAAACATTCCCAGTTTCAGTCTGAATATGTTTTATAGGTTTAATTAATTTTAATAGAAACCTTTGCTTTATCATAAAGATCCTTTGTTCCTTCGACTGTCAGACCTTTACAACAGACCTGGATGAGTCTTCTGCTGCTGAACACCTGAAATATCTATCTATCTAAATAATGTCAAAGATGTCAAAAATACCAACAGGTAATGAGCATGTTTACTCACTAACCCTGACCCAGCCACAAATAAGGACCTGTGATTCCTGTGCGTAGGTCTGCCTCCTCAGAAGAAAACTGGACGTAAAGTTGAAGATGATAAAGACGACGTACCAAGGTGGTACCTAATACAAATAAACATAAATCCAGGTTTTCTATTGTTTTTGGAAATGTGTTTTTGTTCTTTACATTGCAGAAAGAATGTTGTATCTAAACCAGTCAAAGGGTAAGTCTTTTATGGCTCATGTCTGTGGGAGTTCAGATATTTCCCAGTTAAAAAATCAACTTGAATTCCACAGTATGATAAGTGTGGCTAATGATAATTGTTCATTCAGGCCACATAATCATGAGAACAAAAATATAATGATTATTACTATTAAAAATATCTAATTTCTATCTTACTGTATATGTATACTGTAGACTTACTGTGTATGTGTACTTGCATCACATTACCTTCATTTGGCTCAAAGTTTAGCGATTGGGTCTTCATCAGGATACAAGATTTTTTGTTGTTGCTAAAAACATGTTTTTGCAGCTTCTCCACACGACACAGTGTTGAGGCCGAACTGAAGGAGCAAAACCAAAACCTGCGAGCGACGAATGAGGAGCTGCAAAAACACATCACACACACACAAGTACACACTCTCTTCTGCTTGTGTTATTGTGATGTGCAGTTTGTGTGTGTGTTGTACCTTTTTCTGTGTGTTTGTGTGCGCATATGGTGTACAAACTGATGTACTGTTTGTGTGTGTGTGATATACAGATTGTGTTTGAATGTGTTTGTGTGTATGATGTACAGTTTGTGAGGGTTCATGTATGATGTGGGTGTGTACTCATGTGTGATATGTTTGTGTGTGTGTGTAATGTACAGTTTGTGTGTGTGCACCCTCATGTGTGGTATAAGTGTTATAAACTTGTGTTCCTGATGCTCTGCAGCACACAGTGACAGAACTCCAGCAGCAGAACAACCACCTCCAAGAAGAAAAAATGAAGGCAGAGAAACAGCTGAGAGAGTGTCATGTGCTATTAGTGTCAGCTCACATCGACCCAGGTACCTACAGCTGTTAGTGCTCTGGTACCTACACCTGTTTGTGTCTTGGTACCCACTGCTGTTAGAGAATGGTCAGCTGGAACCAGGCCATGTTAATTCATGTTTATTGATAAAACTTAAAAAGGTACATTTCTAAATATTTAAAACCACTGGTTTGTAAAACAAGTCAAAGTTCAACAGCTGCCATTTAACAACCATGAAAAAATAGAATCTTCACTTTAAGAATATGCTACTTTTTTTTCTTTTTTCAACCTCAAACATAATGTGAATAAGTATGTATTCCTTGATTTTCATAAAGTAACTATTCTAAATACTATTCAAAGTATAGTATTTATAGTAGAAGTAGTAACAGTAAACAGCACTGTCTGGTAGTATTCTGGTACTCACTGCTGTTAGTGTTCTGTTACCCTCTGCTTTCCTTGATGTAGTTGACCAGTGTTCTGTTCACAGTGTTGGGAGAACGAGAGGCTGCTCATCATGCTGAAGAGCAGAGAAAAGAAGTCATGGTACGTATGTTCTAGTTTGGTTCTGATGTGTTTCTGCATATATTACACGTACTGTATGTGTTTGTGCATGTCCTCAACACTCCCCAACACCACCCTCTAAAACACCACCTTCACCAAGAACTCCCTCAACACCACCACCTTCCTCAAACACGCACACGCATACAGATGGACAGACTCTTGTTTTAGATCAGGTTTCTTGGACCATCCTAGGCTTCATCATTATGGTCATCATGGTCAAACAATACCACCACTTCGAAGCGTGTGTTGCTCTTCCTGAAGCAGACTGCCTCAAAACATTGCGTTGGAACGTGTATCAAAACACGCGTTACAGACTATGGTTTCGGTTTCGACCAGTGGGGGCGGGTCCCGGCTCAAAAAGGTCCATGCGCACGTGCACTGACATGTTTGCAATCTGACTCATTGGCGTACCTGGAAACAGAATTATCCAACGCATTATAATGCTACCTTTTCTCCTCTTGACAACTGATTCACACTATGTTCGCTATGTTCCAGATGCGTGTCAATGCTGAGGGGAGTTTTTATTTTGGTCCAGCCTAGTTTAGCCGCTGTGGACCTTTGAATCCACTTGTTAAATGAATGGGACTAACGTAGAAGCAAATGCGTTTTTTAGAATTAACGTTTCTCTTAAACTCAGTGACTTTGTTTATATTTGATTCTTCTGTTGCTTTAGAGCGCATCGACTGACCTCCTGCAGAATCTGAAGACTTTTTCTGATTTTTCCTCAGAGCAATGCTGCCAATTGCAGGTAACCTCTTTTACAAATTCATAAAGATACTGTACCAGGGAGTGTTAAATGTGTGTCTTAGTGTGTGTGTGTTGCCCCTCAGGACATCCAGGGCCCGCTGTGTGCACTCACAACAGCCCAGCAGCAGATGGAGCAGGAGAGCGTAAGCTTTGCTTTAGAGGCTGCTCAACTGGAGCAGGCTCTAATTGAAGCTGAGGCTCTGCTTTTGTAACAGACTGTCATTACAATGATTCCAATAAACTGTTTTGTGTTCTTCGTACTTTTCAGAACAGTTAGTTGAATGTCATTCACAAGAACAATTTTACATCCACAACTTTGACTTGTGACTTATACAGACTGTGAGGATGAGGCTTACTTTAAAAAGAAGAAATCAGGCACTTTATTCTATTATCACACTACTCACTTCGTCGTCTCATGTTGTAAATGTGAAAAGATATTGTCAGTAGAAAATATATTCATGCTCCCTGTCGGGGGAGGACATGTGATAGTAAAGAGACTAATTCCATTTGAGAAATTTCCAAAATTAATGCTCTCACTGTTTTATAAAAAATGTGTTTAGGGTAAAAAAAAAAAAAAAAATCATAGACCTGTCTTCCTGGTCTCAAACTCAATTTATTTGGGGGCTGCATGAGGTGGAGTTTGGGTGAAGCTGGGCTGTATTAAGGGTCATGTTTATCACATGTCTGTGTGAGTGCAGAATATATGAACAGAGGAGTACACAAAATTGCAGACACTTCTACTTTGCACACAGTGTTAGTATTAGATAGCAATATGGCCTACGTGCAGGACTGTACAAGGACTCTACAAGGACTCCATGTTATGACTATGATTTGACTGTCTCTTTGTGACACGTATGTCTTTCGATGTGTGACGTGACAATGACTATATAAACTGTGTACTGCCTTTATTCTGTCTGAGAGAAAGAAACAGAGTAAACCAGTGGAACTTGAGAGAAACATAAATAAACTTCCAGAGTTTGGCGCACCACGATCCGTCTCTGTCTGCTGAATCCTAACAGATTTAGTGGAGGATGTGCGGCTCAGTGTGTGCCATTCTCTGGATTGTTTTGAGGGAGTTTCCTCTGCGTGAGAGACCGGCATGCTGTGTCTGGGAACGGGGATTCCAGCAGGCTGGAAGAGCTGTTCCTGGATGCTTCTTGTCGCTTCTGTCACTTTTGTTTTTTAAATTGAATTTTTCGACGCGGAAAAGATGTTGGTCGACCTCTCGAGACACCTTTTTTAATATGTAAAGTCTGCATAATTGGATACTAGCTAAATTTTGAGCTGTCCCGGAGGTCTGTCCAAATCTCTCTAAATCAAATTTTCTTTGTTATGTCTTTGTCACGTCTTTGTCATGTCTTATGTTGTAGAAAACAGGTTAGCTGTGTGGGTAACCAGTCCCTATAGGAAAAAGGAACCCCTGACGTATCGGGGTCCCTGTCCTTTGAAGTAGTCAGGACAGAGAGAAAAAGGAACCCCTGACGTATCGGGGTCCCTGTCCTTTGAAGTAGTCAGGACAGAGAGAAAAAGGAACCCCTGACGTATCGGGGTCCCTGTCCTTTGAAGTAGTCAGGACAGAGAGAAAAAGGAACCCCTGACGTATCGGGGTCCCTGTCCTTTGAAGTAGTCAGGACAGAGAGAAAAAGGAACCCCTGATGTATCGGGGTCCCTGCCTTTGGAGTAGCCGGGGCAGAGAATAGAAAATAGTTAGTGAAACCATGGTGTAAAATTTAAAGTTATAATAAAAAGGGAAACGTTAAACACTAAAGAGTGCCTTTTGTTACAAGTGTGGAAAGTGATCACTTCTAGACTTGGATGACAAAAGTTTAAAGAACAACATCAGTTATATTTGCTTAACAAAGTAATCTTGAAAGTTCTTCTTTCTGTTTTAGCATTTTTGCTAAAACACTACTTTCTGCCTGTGTGTGTGCGCAGCTCTATCTTGCTGCCGTTGTCTTTGCTGCTCTGGCTCTGCATCAGAACAAACCTGCTTTTAGGATTCTGGCTTTTCATAGATGTTATTCCGTTAAATTTGCGAAATTTGCCATTTGAACATTGTGTTATGACACAGTTAAACGTTTTTAAACACCATTAGGGAATAGAAGTTTTGAATTATTATGTTTTTGAAACCCAAAGATTAGTACAAAAAGCTTTGCTTTTCTTTTTAAATCTGCTGCTTATTTCTTAACTGTTTGTGAGTTGTGTTTGTTTTTTATGTTTTTATTTTAGTTACAAAAGCCGTTTTTCAAACATTTAAATTAGAATCTGTGTTAAAAGTGATTATTGATTATAGACTTCGTCTAAAAAGAAAGAGGGAATTAGGATTAGCTGTAAAAGTATTATTAAGTTGAACTGTACCCAATTCACCCAATTCACATTCAAGTGGTGACTTTTGTTTTTGTTTTGACTACACGCGTGACCTTGCTCCTGCTGCTCCTGCTGCCCAGAGACAGGAGGAGGCAGCTCCGACGCACAATTGAGTTTTATTGAACCAAATCCAGTTTAGCTGGAGCTAAATCTTTTGTTTGATTTCAGGTTATGTTTTAATGTTTTCCAAAATAATTTCATTTCATGGCGTCTTTCAAGAAACCCAAGGACGCATAGATAATTAAACACACAGTACAAAAGTACATAATACATATTTTAAAGTTTGAAGATTTTTGAGATTTGAGTCTTGTTTTTAATATTAAGAGTTTCTGGTCTTAAAAATGTCATCATTAGTAAGATAATAAGTAATCTTTATTTACATAGCGCATGTTGAAAAACCCAGAGCGCTCCAAAAGTGTTTAGACTTTAGAGAGAAAAACAATCTCATTCACATACTGATATCTGCTGTTTTGATTTTGACTATAAGGTTGTGTTCCAGGACCAAGGGCACACACTGTACAGGGTCACTGGACTGCTGGAGTGGACACTGGACAGCAAAGCCCACCCAGCCACAGGTCACAGATCAAAGAGCAAAGGGAAATGCCACCTCCTTGCCCCTCCCCACGCCACTCCAGAGCTGAGTGAGTGTGAGAGAGACCGGGGTAGAGAGAGGTATCTGGAGACGTGATGGGTGGAGCATCAGGCAGAGACCTGGATGAGAGTTGAAAGTGTGTCCACGTGGTTAAATCGACACAGTGTGACCTTTGAGACCTACAGGTGGTTCGAGGAGTCTGGAGACACAACCCCAAAATTCACACCCTACATACATCCACACATACACATACATACATTCATACACTCACACACTCACATTTACATATAGATACATGAAAAAGCAGAACATGAGAAAAAAGCATTTTAAAAGTTTACTCCAATGTAAACATATTTTTAATTGTCTATCACTTGAATCTTTACTTGAATCAGTATTTTTGAGACCAGAAATGTTCATTTGAATTCTATATTGTCATGGACTTAATTGACGTCTGTCCTGACACTTTTGATTTGTTGATTTTGTACTGTGTGAAGTAATTACATTGATTAGGATTAGAATCAAAATGACTTAACCATAGAAAGTAACTATTGCATTACAAGTTGTGTACAGGAACTGTGACACTGCACCATTGACCAGAAGTGCATCGCAAATGACCCGGGGCCGTATTCCTAAAGATTCTGAGAGTCCTCTCAGAGAGCTCTTATCTTAACCTAAAAACTCCTAGCTAGGAGTCTTAGCTTAAAAGTTATTCCAGAACACTCTTAGAGAACTCTGAGCAAGGAATTGACAACAACTTTTATCTTAGTGAGGAGGCGTGGCCGACCCCGTTGCTAGGTATGAGTCATCATTTCAGACGCTGTGATTGGTTGATCCTAAAAGTTAGAACAAACATATTTTTGATGATAATAGGCAAAATAAGGGCCCTAAAATGGACAAACTCAATCATGGAATCTAATCTTAGGAACACTGTGTTATTGTAAATAATAACCAAAAGCTATAAAGTCAGATATATCAATGGTACATAAATACTGTGAATAGTAAAGTTAGACTTATACACCATCATCAGAGCTTGCTCAGCACCAATTTATCACACATCCATCCATTTTTCTACCCTTTAATCCATTTCTGGGTCAGGGGGGTGGCAGTCAGAGATGCCACCCAAGTCTCATAGCACCAGCCCCTCACTGATCCTCTGCAGGTGGTGAGTCCACAGGAGGACGGCTGCTCTCTGAGTGTGAGCATAGCCTTGATCTTTCAGTGGGGGCTTTGGGCAAAGTGGGGTTAAGTGTCTTGCCCAAGGACACAACGACAGCAGTCATCAGTGGGAGTCGGTGGAGAAGGTGTAGAGGTGGGAATTGAACCCACGACCTTCTGGCCTTAAGGTCAATGCTCTACCAACTGAGCTACTGTCGCCCCAATACATTTATTGTCGCCCCCAATTTATCACACATAATACGTATATATCATGAGCACTTATAATTTTTATATATATATATATATATATATATATGTATATATATATATATATATATATATATATATATATATATACATATAATTTAAATATTACTCTATATATAATATACATGATAAAGAAAATTATTATTATAAATATTATATGGATAAATGATGATAATGATAACGTTAGGATTAGTAAAGGCTGTGATATGTATAGACTTATAAGGAATTAAGGAAACAATATTAATATAAACATATTATACATACACTGTACAAATCAAGTACAAGGGAGCTTAAAAGTCTTATCCTCTCCCACTCCTTTTTGAGCTGGATTGTTGTTAATAAAACAAAACTGTATATTTGTACTTCTATTCTGTTGTTGTTTTGTTTGTTTTGTCCTTTTTTTTCTTGTTTGCCATGGCTCAAAATAAAGTATTCATTCATTCGTACTGAATGTGTGACAATTTAGGACCACTTTTTCCTCTCTTCCAACTTTTACCATTTCTACTTACTTTTGTGTAACAAAGGTAAAATGGATGAGGTGTTATTGCTGACCAGCCAATGAGAAGCTGGTCACATGATTGACTTTTAAATATACCACAAACATGATTCCTGCTTGAATCTGTAGCGTTTCACTGATTCACTGTCATCCAGTGTATAGAATATTTCTCCTGTCTCCACCGTCCACCATTTTGTGCTCTTAGGGAACTTTTAAGTCGCTAAAAGTCCTCCTCTCAACTCTTAAGGGATCTCCCCTTAAGAGCACTCTTAAGAGCTAGGATTTTTTAGGAATAGCTTTTATCTTAACTAGGAGCTACTCCTCACTTTTAGGGG